GGCTGGGAGCCAGGACTCCTGGGTTCTCTCCCCGGCTCTGGGAGGGGAGTGGGGTCTAGTGGTTAAAGCAGGGGGGCTGGGAGCCAGGACTCCTGGGTTCTCTCCCTGGCTCTGGGAGGGGAGTGGGGTCTTGTAGATAGAGCAGGGGGGCTGGGTGCCAGGACCATGTGATTTTTGAGGGGGTACATCCCTGCCCCCGCTCTGTGCCTCTGTTTCCCCGTATGTCCAAGGGAGAAAATCCCCCTGGCTCGTGGGGGCGGAGAAGCGTCGATCGCTGTGCAAGGGGCTTTGGGCCCTGCCAGCAGGAGGCGCCGGGGCGGGGTGTAGACGGGGGCTGCCCGCGCCTAATGGCCATCCATCTTTCTTTCTCTGCAGGGAGGACGTCACCGTAAGGAGAAGCCGGGGGGGGGCCCTTTCCCCTGCTACACCCGGGGAATCTCTGGGGCAGCATCATGGGGGGGGCGGGGGCGTTTCTGCGAGATCAAGGCCACTTTCACCGGCTGCCCCCACTCGGGCCTGGGTCAGAGCCAGTGCCCTTTAGAGGGGACAGACCCTGTGCCCCATTCCCTGCCCCCCTGAACCTGCCAGTCCCTGCCCTGGGGCGGATGGGAGCCGGCGCCCCCTAGAGGGGACAGGCCCCGAGCCCCATTCACAACCCCCTGAGCCAGCCAGTCCCTTGCTATATTTAATCTCCTGGATGTTGCCCCCCCGGTGTCACCCCCATTGTGTCCCCTCCCCCCCCACATAAATGACTCCGCCCACTTTCCAAATTTTTCGGGGTCTTTGCCTGTAAGTGGGGGAGGAGGGTTGGGTTATTCCCCCTCTCCGGCTTGCTGAGGCCACCCCGGCACCTCGGTGCCAAGTGGGGTGATGCCCTGACTGCCTTCCTCCCCCAGTACGAGGAGGAGGAGGAAGAGGAGGAAGTGGTAGAGGAGGAGGAAGAGGCAGCCGAGGAGGGGCCCCGAGAACCGGAGCCCCCCAAGCCAGCTCCCCCGGCCCGGCCACTGGCCGACGTCCCACCCCTCCGGCGCAAATCTTCCGCCAACTACCGGGCCTACGCGACGGAGCCGCACGTCAAGGTGGGCGCTGGGCCTGGGGTGACGTAACCCGCAAAAGGCTCTGGGCTGGGACCCCGAAGTGCTGGGGTTGGTTCCTGGCTCCCCCCCCCAGATGCCTCCTTGGTCGGGGAGGGGGGGTTGCAGCTCCCGGCGCGACGGGGCCCTGATCTTGGGCGAGGGGGGGGGGGCCTGAGCTGCTCTCATAATACACCAAATAAAAACCCTCTTGCTTGTTCTAATGCAGAGAAAATCCAAGATTACGGCATCTCGGAAATTACAGCTCAAGGTAACATCTCAGGCTTCCCATCTGGGTGAGGGGGCTGGTGGCCGGGGTCGATGGGCCCGTGGGTGGGTCCGGGAGGAGGCTGGAGGCCGAGGTCGATGGGCCCGTGGGTGGGTCTGGGTAGGGGGCTGGAGGCCGGGGTCGATGGGCCCGTGGGTGGGTCCGGGGAGCGGGGCTGGAGGCCGGAGTCTATGGGCCCGTGGGTCGGGTCTGGGGAGGAGGCGGGAGGCCGATGGGCCCGTGGGCCGGGCTTGGGGAGGAGGCTGGAGGCCGGGGTAGATGGGCCTGTGGGTGGAGGCGGGAGGCCGATGGGCCCGTGGGCCGGGCTTGGGGAGGAGGCTGGAGGCCGGGGTAGATGGGCCTGTGGGTGGAGGCGGGAGGCCGATGGGCC